ATGACGTATAATCTGCCAAACGAACAAGGCCAAGGGGTTGGAAGAAGAAGACAAAAAAAAAACTGTTAAAAATATGAGTGATGGCTTATCAACTACAGGTGTAACGCGTTTTACTTTAGTGAATGCCCCTGTGAAAGTCTATGAGCTCACAGCTGAGACTTACGCTTAGGTCAATTTGACAAATAAAATACGAACAAAAAATAATGTTTTTCTAGTTGTTTTTTTTGTTTGTTGCTGTTGTTTTTTTAAATTCAATATACATTTAAAAAAAAAAGTATTTTTTTTTAAATGTTGAAATCAAAAGAACTATTCAATTTATGATGTTAATAATGGCTACAATTTTAAAGCAATATAGTTGGCGTGAGGTTCTGTTGGGTGGTCTTCAAAAGACGGGTTTAGCTATCAATAGTGTCTTAGGATTGACCTGGGTGCCTTATGATTGACCTGGGTAGGCAAACAACGTACATTGGTTAGAGACATCTCTTGCGTTTATTGTCTCTTTTTATACCCTCGCTAAACATTCGTCAGCTAGCAGCATAGTTGAACAGCAGACAACTAGACGAGCTTGAAGCGAGCGCGTGTCAGGCTTAGCGAGAGTTGTCGGTTTGGGGGTATCATAAAACAAAAAAATGTTTAATGCAGCAGATTAGGTAAGAAGCACACCAAAAATATGCAGTTTGAATGTGGCATTAAACGAGAGGATATGTCTGTAGATAAGACAACGTGTCAAAACTCAGACAAATAGCCAGACATTTGGAGATAGTGGGGGAAACAAAATTTAATGCGCGAGGATAAACGAAGATAGTCGAGAGTGAAGAGCAAAGAGTTTAAAGACTTCTTTCCATCTTCTCTCTCTATGTGTCTTCTTCGTATTAGTTTATGTCTCACTCCATAAGTGTCTCAAGTCTCGTCCTTCGTTAGCCACTGAACTCTCAATTTGATATATCCTCTTATGTCCTCCTTTTATGTCCTTCTCTTATATTTTTCTCTTATGTCCTTCTCTTATGTCCTCCTCTTATGTTCTCCTCTTATGTTCTCCTCTTATGTTCTCCTCTTATGTCCTCCTCTTATGTCCTCCTCTTATGTCCTTCTCTTATGTTCTTCTCTTATGTCCTCCTCTTATGTTCTTCTCTTATGTTCTTCTCTTATGTCCTCCTCTTATGTTCTTCTCTTATGTCCTCCTCTTATGTCCTCCTCTTATGTTCTTCTCTTATGTCCTCCTCTTATGTTCTTCTCTTATGTTCTTCTCTTATGTTCTTCTCTTATGTTCTTCTCTTATGTTCTTCTCTTATGTTCTTCTCTTATGTCCTCCTCTTATGTTCTTCTCTTATGTTCTTCTCTTATGTTCTTCTCTTATGTCCTCCTCTTATGTTCTTCTCTTATGTTCTTCTCTTATGTCCTCCTCTTATGTTCTTCTCTTATGTTCTTCTCTTATGTCCTCCTCTTATGTTCTTCTCTTATGTCCTCCTCTTATGTCCTCCTCTTATGTTCTTCTCTTATATCCTCCTCTTATGTCCTTCCATCATGAGGTACTTTCATCCCTGGCTGAAACTTTATCAGTGTCTCTCTTTATCAATGTCTGTACATCTTTCTCTTTCTTTCTCTGTCAATGTATGCCTATTGCTATCTTTCTTAATATATGTCTATTGCTCTCTTTCTGTCAATGTCTGTCTATTGCTCTCTCTGTCAATGTCTGTCTATTGCTCTCTTTCTGTCAATGTCTGTCTATTGCTCGCTCGCTCTCTCTCTATGTCAATGTATGTCTTTCTAAACGTATGTCTATTTCTCTCTCTCTGTCAATGTATGTCTTTCTAAACGTATGTCTATTGCTCTCTCTCTCTCTCCCTGCAATGTCTCTGTCTATTGCTCCCTCTCTCTCTCTCTCTCTATCTGTCAAGGTCTGTCTATTGCTCTCTCTCTCTCTTTTCAATGTCTTCTGTTACGTTTTTTTCTCCATTCTTCTCTCTCTCCAAACGTCAGTCAGTTACTTTCTCTGACTCTATTCGTCAATATCTCTTTTGCTTTCTCTTTTTTTTCCTCTTTTCTCTCCCTCTCTTTCTCCGCTAGTCTCTAAGCACAGTTGGGGGGGGGGGGTGGGGTGGGGGGCCTCTCACCTCGCCTAAAGAATACATATCACTGTCGTTTAAATCATCATTAACGTCTGCACGGAACAGTGTTCGCGACTGGCTCACGCACCTATGAACTTTGTGACCCCTGATGGTCGGGCTGGGGTAGGAACCGGTGCTGACCTGAAGCACTGACGACTTTAACGGGACGAACAGACAAAACAAGTCTGAACACAAAAAAAAAAAAGGCGGAAGGGTAGAAGGGACGCGACAAGATCAAAGCATGAGAGTTATTGATGGCCAAGACTGGTGGTAGAAGTGTAGAAGTACAGTTAAGGCAGATGTTACAGGGGCGGAACCTGCGTCCCGAGGTTGATGGGTTGATCGATAAAACACTAGCCGAGGTGACGAACAAAGGTTGTTCACCTTGAAAATACTAAATGCTGGGCACACGGGGCACAATAACTTAATGAAGATTTATAACCCGGCCTAACGCCAACAAATGACCCAAGACCATATGCTATATCTCACAGACGACAAGACTAGTAAATTAAAGGTTGGAAGAAAACGACGACCATTTCAATGAATATATAGGTCATTACTACAGAAAAAAAACAACGAATAGGTCCCTCGCCACCGCTTCGTAAAGTTTTGAAACTGTGTTCACCAGCGCAATCAACGTTTTGTAGAACTTATAGAATCTTAGCATGGCTACGAAAGAAAATCTCTGTATAGGGCAGTAACCTCATCGCAGGTCTCTACTGAGTCATATTTCATGAGTGTAGCTTCAACTAGCTCCCATACAGCCCCCTTTACAGGTCGTCTCAATTCATTCCCCCCTTTCCCTTTTTTTTTGTATTCACGTAATATAAAAACAAAGCGTGTAACCATTGAGTCCCCCCATCCACCCTGCGAGATAGGCTTTTTATCTATTGTAAAGTCAACAGGACGAGCTTCCGTGGTAATGACAACGAGGGATTAACTCTGCTGACGGATGCCATGCCGACACAAAGAGACGCTCTTATGTCTTCTTATTGATTCACTCATTAATTGGGGGGGAAGGGTTAACGGAGAGACAGAGAGAGAGAAGCGGGAGGATAAATGCAACACACACACACACATACAGTGCACACACTGCACAATCGAAAAACACACTCACAACAAACGCGCATGCGGAGCAATGTTTGCGTTAGCGGGTCAAATGTGTACTAAGTTATCACAAGCTGCTCGCATATGCATTGTCAGTGTGTGTGTGTGTGTTAGCGGTCAAATATGTACAGTTATCATAAGCTGCTTGCATATGCAATGTCAGTGTGTGTGTGTTAGCGGTCAAATGTGTACAGTTATCATAAATAAGCTACTCGCATATGCAATGTCAGTGTGAGTGTGTGTGTGTGTGCTAGCGGTCAAATATGTAGTTATTTTAAGCTGCTCGCGTATGCGATGTCAGTGTGTGTGTGTGCGTGAAACTGCATGTAACAAAAAAAAATTCGTGCGATTGTTTGAGTGTGTAGCCTTAACTTCCCATCCAATTATCCAGCTCTATAATGATTGACTCCAACTGATAACACAGTCTAAGCCGTCTACCTGCTTTATATCATGTAACTACTTACAACGATGATTAAAATAAGGCATCGAGTTCAGTGGGGCGTGAAGCAATGTAGGTATTTGTGTGTGTGTGTGTTTTACATTTAACAAGGAAATGTTAAGTACATCACGTGGAACATTTTATTTCACTCACGTGACTGCATTTTAAATTATTTGTAATATTCTTTTAAAAAGTATTTTTAAAATAGTTTCATATTTCTTTAACTGCAATAAAAAGATGCAAATAAATGTCTTGTCATGTATTGTGCCTATCACGAGATAAAAAAGACAATAAACCAAAGTATAAGACTGTCTCGTAATTGACAAAAAAAAACTTAAATCACGAACTGGGTTACGGGAGTGTCCCTAATTGACAAGGCATCTCAAATTACAAACTGGGTCACGAGACATCCACACAAGTGTCAAGGTTTCTCCAATCATCTGTCTTAGACAAACGTACATGCCTCCTCAGGTTGTATTTGTATATGCTCTATCTTAATTTTTTATTTTTGTTTTGTTTTGTTTTTTAAAGCGGAAACGGAATAAGGCGGTGAAATTAAACGCTTCGAATGCAGGCCGTTGTAAGGAACACAGTGTCCGGACTATAACGTCCCACAATGTCCGGACTATAACGTCCCACAATTTCCGGACTTTAACGCCCCACAATGTCCGGACTTTAACGCCCCACAATGTCCGGACTTTAACACCCCTTGTCCATACACAGGTAGAAGATATGTTAAACGCTGACGTTTTGTAGAGAAGAGTGCGTGTCACATCTGCTTTGAAAGCAACTAACGAGCTTTGGGTGAGGGGAAACAAATGTCACCACTCACCTCTATTCATTGCCCACGAGTTTTGGTTTATGCGAGTGCCAGGGTAGATCTCTTGGCCCACACGACAACAAACAAACACCGCTAGTTGGCGAGATGAACAGAGTGAAACAGAAGAGTTGTGTCATCTTTCACATGCCTGTCATTAAAACACGTAATAGTGGTAGCTCAACACAGAAACGTGATGTAGATAATCAAATGTTTTACAGTACACACTGCAATTATCACGAGTAGTAGGAAGGGAACCTCCGTGACCTATACATATTTCATTGTCTAGCGAGTGTTATCTATCTTCTCTCTCAACGAGATAACTGTACGAGGGCTTAAATTATGTTTTCTTCTGTTGTCTCCCCTTGCTAGTCTATGTGGTGACTGGCGGTATGAGATTCAAGTCTAGCAATATATATATACTCACACACATTCCATTCTTTAAGGGCTTTTTTCTTCCTTTTTTTTTCTCAGATAAAAAGAGTGACCGATACTATTTATAGTATTCACTAAACATGACCAAATACACAGTTGTATCTTGGATAAATGCCTTTAAAATAAATGTGCGAATGCCTTACAACATTATGGTAACCTAAAGCTTATACTTAGACGTTTCTTTTACGGAATGGAGGATACTAGGAATTCTGACTCTCGAGAAATTACTGACCTGTAAATAGTTGGCTGTGACTTTGTAGTGGATGGCCAATGATAAGGGTGAAAAAGGAGGGGGTTAACGAGGACCGGAGGGGACAGACCGAGCTGTCATAATAAAAATCAGCGAAGCGTGACCACTACATCTAACCATTAACCGAGAAGACCTTCAACGCCTTTTGTTTACAGCTGTGAAGGCGAGGAGAAGGGGTGCGGAGTGGACGCTTTAGATTGACGTAGGACACACAAAAAAAAGTGTTGCTGAATGAATGAACGCGCGTCTCGTACGACAAATTTATCTGAATGAAGATGATTTACCCCCCCCCCCTTTTTTTTTCCTCTCCCAATACACGGGGACATTCGCGCTTGTTTGACAAGGGACATAATCCTTCAAGATTATTCTTGCTACAAAAAGCTATATTAAGAAAATACTAAAAAGAAGTGTTTTTTAAAAGACACCCAACAGCAGACTTCAAAGTGAAGAGGTCATAATTACGGCCACATTAAATCATAACAATTTCGACAACATAACACGAGCGTGGTGACGAGGGCTGAACAGAGACGCAAGCGATATTAGACAAAATAAATCTTGTTAAAGTGTGTGCCGCTCTGGTGCCTAAAGATCAGGAGACAGAATGAAAGCAGCCAAGGGACTAAGACGGAGTCCTCGAGTCAAATCATTGTATTTGTGAACACAAGCAGAATGCCTGCCTTTTTTATTCTCCTCCCAGTGAAGTCATTGAAGCATTAAGATTACTATTAGCAGATAAAAAAAAAGGTCAGCGAAAAAAAATTGGAAAAGAGCGAGGGCTTTGATAGGACCCAGCAACCCTCGGTGTGTGTGTGTGGGAATGTTAGGTTGTGTTCAGTATATTCAGATCTATCTAAACTAGTACAGGTGCAAAGTGCAACTTTGACAAAGATTAATCGAGTGACTTTTCGGTTAGTTGGTTTATGTGTTGAGGGAGAATAAAGTCGACGTTTTAGTACAACGTCAAATGATTTGAGAAATGCGCAGGTTAACCTAATAGTAATGGCAAGTGCGTAGACTTGAAAAGTTCCGCTAGCATTTGAATGCTGCCATGATGGCTGCCTGGTCGTGCGGTTTGCGCGCTGGACTGTCCTTCAGATTTATCGATGGTCCAGGGTTCAAACCCTGCCCGCTCCCATCCCCCGTCGTCCTGCGGGAGGTTTGGACTAGGAAGTAATTATCTTCAACTCTGAAGGAACATCCGAAACATGTAAAACATTTTACAAACAAAACAACAAACAAGGGGCATTTTATAGTAGTGATCCAATGATGTTAGAGCTAAGGTAGTTAATTAGCACGGCCAAATCTTCGTTGTCATCTCTCTCTCTCACACACACACACTTATACCAACACATCTCGACTTAATCTCGTGCCACCTTACGATTAATATAGTAGAGGTTTTGTTTGTGTATGTGTTTGCATTAGTGTGTGCGTGAGAAAGTAATAAGCAACCATACTTACTACCCGCAATAGTATTTTGTCCAACACTCAACTTCAGACGTGAAAGATTTAAGATTATTGACGTTAAAATTAATATGAAAAAAAAATTGTGAGTACAAATCAATTAACCAGGTGGTGGTGTTTTTTTTTTAAAACTCTTTATGCACGAAAGCCTCGCTATTTTCAACACGTGATCTTAGCCTTTGGGTTGGGGGGGGGGGGGGGTTAAATGTACAACTTCAATAGTGAAGAAATAAATCTGCATGGTGTTGATCAAGACTTTATTCCAAGATTCCATCCAAGGATCCCAAGTTTGATTATCGCCCCACTGGGAGTTATTTAATGTGTAGTTAGCGTGATGCTATTATTCTTATCTTATATAATACAAACGTTACTTCAAAAAAGAAGATGATTACGTCATACGCGTCATGCATATTAACCAATGACTTAAATTCTGCCAAGTCACTGGTTTTCCTGGCTAGCTCAGGCAACCCATTCCATGCTCTAATAGCACTAAGGAAGAAGGAGTATTTGTAAACATTTATTCCGGTATATGGGACGAGGAATGTGCCTTTATGTCCTTCATTAAAAGTTTTGTTGATGTTGTTGTGGACGACGGAAAGTGCATAATATATATTTTTTTTAATCCTTGTCAAATGACTGATCTAGTCTTGACAAAGAGTTAGTTTAAATGTTTACAGTCTTGACAATCAGTTAGTTCAAATGTTTACAGATTTATCTGAATATCTGATAACTACCTAACCTATATGTCCACGTGTATATGTATATATTCTCGATCAAACAATAATCTTATTGACCAACCTCGCTTTCATAGTAGAAGTCTAGTTTTAATAAATAGTTACATTTAAAAGTCAAGATTTGAATCCCTAGTCTTCTCAGTGTAAACAGTGGCTCAAAGCAAAAGAGGGGGGGGGGCTGATGCTCTTAGAGACTGATTTGAGTCAAGGTTAATAGTTAATAATTATTCTATTCTATAAAGTAATAAAACGCCGATGCCCGCAGCCGTTCAAATTCAATTCAACATCAACGACATGTTGGTCGCCTAAATATCGACATTAATTAGTTAACTTTCAATTATACTGCGCGGTAGCTAAGTGGTTAAGCGCCTGGTTTAACCTGGGGCCCAGGGTTCGAATTTCGATGAAGACTTGGATTTTGAAATTTCTAGACTTTTAGGGCAGGGGGGACCCTGAGCCAATCCAACTGTAATGGGTACTTGTCTTTAGTTGGGAAAAAAATAAAGGCGGTTGTACGTTGTGCTGGACGCATGGACACCCTGTTCGTTAAGCGTTGGCCAAAGAAACAGAGATGACCTTAACATCATCTGTCATATAGATTCTTAAGTCTGAATGTGGAACTTTTATTCAATTATATCACTAGTCTGAAAATGCACGCGCTATTATTAACACCAATGAATATAAAGACTTTTAAGTATGTGCACAAATGAGTTATAAAAGTAGAACTCACGAGTCACGGGTGAGCTATATTGTCAGACAAGGAAAAGAAGAAGTAGAAACGGCTGCCTCCCCACCCCTCCCCACCCCCTCCCAGGTAACAATAAGAGTAGATGAGCGGACCAGAGTCAACACTGTGACGTCACGCCCATGTTTGCTCTAGGAAATAGTCCGAGTTAAGATAACCTGTCAAAAGGCCAGATCCAGTTGGTACGGGGAAATGTCAAAATTTTCATTGCTTACTCAATATAAGGTAAACGCCCGCCCGCCCGCCCCACCCCACGGATATTTACCCCTGAATAGCGCGTGCAGAATAAAAAGAAGGGGGTAGGGTAGGTAAAAGAAGAATAAAAAGAACCGATTGTTTTATACAAGTTAAGAACTTTATAACAATACATACATTTAAAAAAATAAACCCATATCTCCCTGCACACAAACACACACAAACAAGGACAAGACACTCAATGCATGCAGACTGTAGGAATAATTAACTTAGCGCCATTAAGACATTGAAGAACACATACACACACACGCGTACACACACTCATTCTTTTGTCTTCACCAAAATCAGAAAGATCAGTAAGACTTAATTTAGATTGTCTGTTACCTGCAAATGTACAAGTGTTATTGTCGCGTTAACACACATGTGTGTTTGATGTGTACATCTGATATTATAAAGGCATCTACATTTGAAGTCGTTGACATTCAATGGAACCCCTTGTAGTTTTGGTGTGAGTTCCGAGACTTTCCCAACAAGGTACCCTTCAATGCCCATGCGCCATGCACAGTATTACTTTTTGGGTGCCTGTATGCAAAGCGATGTTTTCCCATGCTATCCGACGTCTCTGAAAAAAATTCAAAATGCGAATCAAATTGTAAATCGTAAACGGATCACATATTTGTGAATATTGACAAGTCATGTGTGACCATAAATCAAACGAGATATTTTGGAAGCCCACATTCAACGAGGCAGAAGCCGAGCGCGGATCAAAAAACCGACTGCACGTATAGCTGACCTTCATGTGGGTAATGACACGGACGGAAGTTATCTAACGATTTGTCAAGTCGATGAAAGGTTCGGGAACATTAGCAGGTCGGGGCTGAGTAATTGCAGCGGTACACTCATTAGGCGCACTTAATTAGGCCAATCATAATATTAATGGCAATAATAACAATTAAGGTAGCCCAGGGCGTGTGAGATAATTATTTTAGTTAACATATAAACAGAGTATGTAATCCAGTTATATGGGGGTTTATGTTCACACGACGTTTAATCCAGAGGCAGTTGTTCGAGATGCCACAAAATGGATGTTGTTTTTTAAGAGAGCTTATATCATCTCACTTTATCTATCTGTTACAAATTTTGAACACGTCATTTCTCCCACTTCCCATTCTCGGATCAAGTTGAAACTTTGCTCTCAATTATTCATTGGTCCTAACAAAAAATTAATCAATCAAACAATCAATTATTTAATTAAAGAAAGGTAAATAATTAATTTTGCTTGATATGGAAAAGGCAAATAACTATTACAACATTGAGATTGGCTGTAAATGTGGAGTTCTCCTTAGATACGTTTTTAACAATTTAAAAAAAAAATATTTTGCTTGTCTTGTTTTTAGATTTTTACTACATTATAAATGTGTACTGATTGATCAAAATGCCCACTTTTAAAACTAGCTCTTGTAATTAACGGCACATTGTTTATTTTCATGATACATTTAGTCTTCTCATTGTTAATATGTGAAATATAGTCATCGAGTATCTTAAGTTCCTGTATTTAAATATTGGTGAAGCATTAAATGTATTAAGTTGTTTCGTCGCCTAAGTCCAAACACCCTTGACAAAATGAAACATACTACTTGGCTTCTGTTTGCTTGTACTATTCACTTTAAATGGGGGGACAGCGCATCGCCTGTTTCCCTGAGAGAGGAGATCGATCTTTAATGATCTCTTAGTTCATGTTTTTAGATTAACTCTCCTAAAGTATCCTATCACATGACAAAATTACGTCCGACGGACCGGCTTCCCTCGCCCCCCCCCTTTCCCCTCAAACGGGAGCCCTCCTCCCACAGCCGGCCCTCGACGTCCTCTCGGCTCACCTCCTCACTGCAAACAAACACAAAGAGTCCAAGATTCCACTAGCCCATGTTCTAACACTTGAGTAATTTGCCCATGTTTATACAGTAGATGTCATCAGCCCTCCGCCTAGACTCCAGAAAGATGTAGTCGAGAGTAACACGTGCCAACCATCAATGGTGGCGAGTAACTTGGGACACACACACACGCTTACATGGAACACACACACACGCACACACAATGGCTAGAATCTGACGAGGATAGCAACGAGTAACTTCATTTCCACGCTTTTTTCCTCCCTC